CCAAACTCAGCATACATCATTCTAGTCCTAATTCATTACGCAGTGCCAAATTTCGAGCAAATCAAAAGATATACAGGGGTTTTGGTGCAACAGTTACATAAATCGGATGAAAATATATATGGGAGCTATATCTAAATCTGAACCGATTTTCACCAAACTCGCCACACATCATTCTGCACTTAATACAGAACACTCTGCCAAATTTCGTGCAAATCGAATGATATATAGGGACTTTGGTGCACCATTTACATTAAATCGGACGAAACTATATATGGGAGCTATATCTTATCCTGAACCGATTTTCATGAAACTCACCACACATCATTCTAGGCCGAATTTATTACGCTGTGCCAAATTTCGTGAAAATCGAAAGATATATAGGGACTTTGGTGCACTATTCAAATAAATCGGACGAAAATATATATGGGAGCTATATCTAAATCTGAACCGATTTTTACCAAACTCGGCACACATCATTCTGCACTTAACACAGAACGCTCTGCCAAATTTCGTGCAAATCGAATGATATATAGGGACTTTGTGGCACCATTTACATTAAATCTGACGAAAATATAGATATGAGCGATATCTAAATCTGAACCGATTTTCAGGAAACTTAACACACATCATTCTCTACCTCATTCATTGCGCTGTGCCAAATTTCGTGTAAATCGAAAGATATATAGGGACTTTGGTGCACTATTTACATAAAATCGGACGAAACTATGTATGGGAGCTATATCTAAATCTGAACCGATTTTCATGAAACTCAGCACACACCATTCTAGGCCTATATCATTACGATGAGCCAAATTTCGTGTAAATCGAAAGATATATAGGGACTTTGGGGCACCATTTACATAAAATCGGACGAAACTATATATTGGAGCTATATCTAAATCTGAAGCGGTTTTCATGAAACTCAGCACACATCATTCTAGGCCTAATTCATTACACTGTGCCAAATTTCGTGCAATTCGAAAGATATATAGGGATGAAAATATACATGGGCTATATCTAAATCTGAACCGATTTTCAGGAAACTTAACACACAACATTCTAGGCCTAATTCATTACCCTGTGCCAATTTTCGTGCAAATCGAAAGATATATAGGGACTTTGGTGCACCATTTACCTTAAATCGGAGGAAAATATATATGGGAGCTATATCTAAATCTGAACCGATTTTTCCCAATTTCAATAGGGTTCGTCCTTGGGCCAAATAAGTGACCTATGCCAAATTTCATCCAAATTGGATCATAAATACGACCTGTACTTTGTTCACAAAAATGCATGGACGGACAGACGGACGGACTCACAGACGAACGGACGGACATGCGTAAATCGACTCAGAAAGTGATTCTATGCATATTCTCAAAAGGAACCATTTGTCTATCTCTTATCCTTTTGCCAGTTACAAACATATGCACAAAGATATTATACCCCGTACAACAGTGTGGTGAAGGGTTTAAAAAGGACAGGATATATATATATAATAATACAACAAAAACATCAGCAATATAAACATTCTGCACAATAACGGTAGCTACACCAACAACGAGAACCACACAGAAAATAAAGATTAATATACCCGGGTCCAAACACACACATGCAGACACACATATGTGTACTGGTGTACACTTTATATACCAATACGACGACTAGCATTACCACAACTAAAAACAGTGGTAGATCATGAAGAAGCTGCAGCAAAAATGAAGAGATGAAGCAAAGTAAAAATAAGAAAAAAATAATAGCAGAAGGCAAATTTTATAAACAGAAAAGGACTTGTACACACACACACAGGCACACACTCAGCAAAAAAATACCCACATTCAATGAAGAAGAAACTCAAGACAATGTGGAAGTAAAAGTCATCACAGCAAAATGCAAAAAAAAGAAATTGACAGGGACCGGGAAGAGGAGAGAAAGAGAGAAGGTTTAACACAAAATGAACAAGCAGTCTAGATAGCCGAGCTGCCTTATTTTCCATAAAAAAATAAAATGTGTAAATATAAAAAAAAAAAATCCTTTCAATGAACTTTTTGTCCCTTTTTTATGGTGATGCCTGACCTCCCTCTCCGCCACGGCAATCGCCGTTACATTCACTTCTCTAGGAAGGCAAGTTCTTCACAAGAGTTTTATAACTAAATGCGTGACTACAAAAGTGTGTGTGTGTGTGTGTCTATATGTAAGCTGGTATGTGTTGTGGTACACACATACATATATCCCTCTTCGACATCAAATTCCTTATGAAAGTGATATGGGTTGATGGAAAAAATCTCCATAGTTCAATGCGTCATCATACAGGCTCATGCAAATGTATAGTCAGCACCAAACAACAACAACAGCAACAACAAAAATTACCTTAACATAATAAAACAATAAAAGAGCTTTTTCTTCATTTCTTAAATTGCCTTGTGGTTTTTTAAGAAGGTGATTTTATTTTGGTTTTTTAGGTAATACCTGGAACGAATTTTTTATGCATAGCCCAAAAAACGGCTGCAAAACATAGTTTTGCAGCCGTTTTCCTGTCAAATATTAATGTTTAATAATAATTCCGTAAAATTGTGGAATTTTATTACCCGGCTTGTCATTATGCCAAGGCATTGCTACATTTTATTTTCTGTAGTTAACCATGAAATTTGGGTTGGCCAAACATTCGCTGCGGATAGTAAATTCCATGAAATTCCGATGAAAAAAATGGAAATAAATAAAAGGTTCGAACATTAAGCTCATGTGATATATATATATATATATATATATTTTCTTTTGGAGCAGTGGAAAAAATAATATTTTTCAAAGGATATGTATTGAAAGCTTCAATAGGGGTGGATTTTTAAAGATTATTTTTTTCACGGGCCACCAATGGGCGTGGATTTTTTATACCCTTCACCACACTGTGGTACAGAGTATTATGTCTTTGTGCCTATGTTTGTAACAGGCAAAGGAAACGAGATAGACACATTTTGAGAATATGAAAAAATCGGCTCAGATTTAGATATAGCTCCCATATATATTTTTGTCCGATTTAATGTAAATGGTGCACCAAAGTCTCTCTATATCTCTCGATTTGCACGAAATTTGGCACAGCGTAATGAATTAGTTCTAGAATCATGTGTGTTAAGATTCCTGAAATTCCTGAAAATTTGGGGTAAATGGTGCACCAAAGTCCCTAAATATCTTTCGATTTTCACGAAATTGGCACAGCGTAATGAATTAGGTCTGGAAAGATATGTGTTAAGTTTCGTGAAAATTGGTTCAGATTTAGATATAGCTCCCACTTATATTTCCGTCCGATTTGGGGTTAATGGTGAACCAAAGTCCCTAAATATCTTTCGATTTGCACGAAATTTGGCATAGTGTACTGGATTATGTCTAGAGTGATGTGTGTTAAGTTTCCTGAAAATCGGTTCAGATTTAGATATAGCTCCCATATATATTTTCGTCCGATTTAATGTAAATGGTGCACCAAAGTCCCTATATATCCTTCGATTTGCACGAAATTGGGCACAGCGTAATGAATTAGGTGTAGAATGATATGTGATAAGTTTCCTGAAAATCGGTTCAGATTTAGATATAGCTCCCATATATATTTTCGTCCGATTTAATGTAAATGGTGCACCAAAGTCCCTAAATATCTTTCGATTTGCACGAAATTTGGCACAGCGCAATGAATTAGGTCTAGAATGATATGTGTTAAGTTTCGTGAAAATCGGTTCAGATTTAAATATAGCTCCCATATATATTTTCGCCCGATTTAATGTAAATGGTGCAGCAAAGTCCCTATATATCTCTCGATTTGCATGAAATTTGGCACAGCGTACTGAATTAGTTCAGTAATGGTGTGTGTTAAATTTCCTAAAAATCGGTTAGATTTAGATATAGCTCCCATATATATTTTCATCCGATTTGGGGTAAATGGTGCAACAAATTCCCTATATATCCTTCGATTTGCACGAAATTTGGCATAGCGTACAGGATTATGTCGAGAGTGATATATGTTAAGTTTTCTGAAAATCGGTTTAGATTTAGATATAGCTCCCATATATATTTTCGTCCGATTTAATGTAAATGGTGCACCAAAGTCCCTATAAGTCTCTTGTTTTTAGCCAAAGTGAGGAAGGGTATCATATAGACGGCCCCGCCCGACTTTACTACTTTCCTTACTGGTTAAAGAATATTTTTGCCTATTGGAACATTTATTTATCGATTTAATTCTCTCGAGAAATATTTTATCGATTAGATTTTCTACATTATTGATGATTTCATTTGTGTCCCCAATAGCGTTATACATATTTTATCATTATACCCAATTTTCATTCATCATCCCTAATAGTTCATATTTGTATCCAAAATCCATATGGTATAAAAAAATCCAATCTCCTTTAAAGCAAAAAAAAAATCTGCACAAAAATTTAAATATACATACATACATTTTTGGCATAAATCGACAAGAAAATATTTATCCAATTTTTTTGTCATTTGCTAAATTTTAAATAAATTCCATCATTATTATTATTAAATTCGATTACAAATATTTACTGACGTTTAATTTTCATAAGTGCATTTGTCTACCGAAACTAATATCCCAGATATTGAAAGTATATACGGGCGGGGTTGTGTGTGTGTGTGTGTTTGTCTGTCTTTCAATACAAAAATATGCAATGGCTCTTGGCAAAGTTCTTTCGTTCTTTATTTTTTTCCGTGCTATGAAAATTATTAGAAAGAAAAACTTTGTTTTTTTTTCCTTGCCCCAATCTACTTATTTTCTTATACTTTATGTGTGTCTTTGTATGTGTGTGTGACAATTTTTTTCATTCTATTATTTTTTCTTTTCTATTTCTCACCCACAGAATAGCCCAACAATTTATGTTGCCGATATACATAGATAAGGAAAAGACAACAGCAACAAGAAGAAGAACAAGAATATCATAATAAAAAAGGGAAAATAACTTCAAGATAAAGCAGAACAATAAACTCTAATAGATGTTTAGAATATGAAGCCAATTATTGTAAATGATTGTCAATTTAAATATGCAAAATATCATCAGCATCACCAACAGCATCCTCAGCAACATCAATTCCATGCCGACAACGACAACGTCCAGCAGAGGCTATTAGAAACATAAAACCAGGAAAGGGACAATTGTTCCCATATATCCCCTGAAAGCATTCACATTGTTGTAACAATCGGCAACAATCAGAGAAGTCCAAGCAGTGGCAATAAAAACAAAACAAAAACCCATTCCAGTCGAACACCCACACACAAAGACAAAAAGGAGAAAAGAGAGAAGAAGCAGAATAACAAGAAATACGATCGACCAGGCAGGCGGCCTATTAACAAACGGCCATTGTCATCATCATCAACACCAACAACAACCATCGAACCAAGTAGCCACAAGCATCAGCAGCAGCTAAGCAGCAGCACCAGCTGCAGCTTAGTGTTAGTGGAGAGATGTTATTGGCTACCCTAAATTTCCATCGAATGGGATGTTTGATTAATATGCAGCTAATCTTTCTCATACTGTTGGGTAAGTGGAACGAATATAGATGGAAGCAAAAGCAATTTGATAGATCGTAATAATATCTGTATATGTGTGTTCGAATAAGAGGCAATCAAGGAAATCGAAAATTTGTTAATCGAATTTAAATTATTAAAATTTTACTTCTAAAATAAATCGAACAATCGATTTGAAATATTATTGGAAATTTAATTATGACCAATGTTTTGTATAAAAAATCGTGATATCGTTAGATTTTCTATATATATATATATATATATATATATATATTTTCTGTTATTTTCCCCTACTGCAAGAATCTACTATTTTTTACTCCGATAACACTTTATTCCTTTATGATATCGAAGAAAATAGTAAAATCGAGTAGATTCTTGCAGTACGGGAAAAGATCATTCAATATCAAGTTATGCTATCGATTATTGTTTATTTTTGTTATTTGAATTTTTGTGATCATTTGAAAGTGATTTTAAGTGATTATTTATACTCTTTCGAGTCGAGCTTGATGATCTAAATTTTGCAATGAAAAGGAAAGCCAGGAGAAGAACCTACGTACCCACCATTATGCGACGCGTTTCGCCGTTGGTTAAGCGGCTCATCAGGCATATTGGGCTATGTGGCTTTACAAAGGTCGTACGTTGATAACTTGTATTTATTCCGCCCTGATGCGAAACTTGCATATGCGAATTAAATTCAAATTTGTCAAAGTTCGACATTTGTCTTCATTCTAGGAACAGTCCTTTTCAAAGCAGATTTTTGTTGTAGCGATGGATAATTAATCCACACACCTACAATTGCTTCCTGGTATACACATGTTTTTGCGCAACCGTTTTTGGAAGTGTTGATGGCTCAGAACGTTAAGCGGTCTTGGCAACATCTGTGTTGCTCTGAGGACCTAGGTTCGAGCCCTAGCCGTGCTCGGCTGAAATTAATTTTTGTTATTTGAATTTTTGTGATCATTTGAAAGTGATTTTAAGTGATTATTTATACTCTTTCGAGTCGAGCTTGATGATCTAAATTTTGCAATGAAAAGGAAAGCCAGGAGAAGAACCTACGTACCCACCATTATGCGACGCGTTTCGCGTCGCATAATGGTGGGTACGCCCTGATGCAAGTTTCGCATCAGGGCGGAATAAATACAAGTTATCAACGTACGACCTTTGTAAAGCCACATAGCCCAATATGCCTGATGAGCCGCTTAACCAACGGCGAAACGCGTCGCATAATGGTGGGTACGTAGGTTCTTCTCCTGGCTTTCCTTTTCATTGCAAAATTTAGATCATCAAGCTCGACTCGAAAGAGTATAAATAATCACTTAAAATCACTTTCAAATGATCACAAAAATTCAAATAACAAAAATTAATTTCAGCCGAGCACGGCTAGGGCTCGAACCTAGGTCCTCAGAGCAACACAGATGTTGCCAAGACCGCTTAACGTTCTGAGCCATCAACACTTCCAAAAACGGTTGCGCAAAAACATGTGTATACCAGGAAGCAATTGTAGGTGTGTGGATTAATTATCCATCGCTACAACAAAAATCTGCTTTGAAAAGGACTGTTCCTAGAATGAAGACAAATGTCGAACTTTGACAAATTTGAATTTAATTCGCATATGCAAGTTTCGCATCAGGGCGGAATAAATACAAGTTATCAACGTACGACCTTTGTAAAGCCACATAGCCCAATATGCCTGATGAGCCGCTTAACCAACGGCGAAACGCGTCGCATAATGGTGGGTACGTAGGTTCTTCTCCTGGCTTTCCTTTTCATTGCAAAATTTAGATCATCAAGCTCGACTCGAAAGAGTATAAATAATCACTTAAAATCACTTTCAAATGATCACAAAAATTCAAATAACAAAAATTAATTTCAGCCGAGCACGGCTAGGGCTCGAACCTAGGTCCTCAGAGCAACACAGATGTTGCCAAGACCGCTTAACGTTCTGAGCTATCAACACTTCCAAAAACGGTTGCGCAAAAACATGTGTATACCAGGAAGCAATTGTAGGTGTGTGGATTAATTATCCATCGCTACAACAAAAATCTGCTTTGAAAAGGACTGTTCCTAGAATGAAGACAAATGTCGAACTTTGACAAATTTGAATTTAATTCGCATATGCAAGTTTCGCATCAGGGCGGAATAAATACAAGTTATCAACGTACGACCTTTGTAAAGCCACATAGCCCAATATGCCTGATGAGCCGCTTAACCAACGGCGAAACGCGTCGCATAATGGTGGGTACGTAGGTTCTTCTCCTGGCTTTCCTTTTCATTGCAAAATTTAGATCATCAAGCTCGACTCGAAAGAGTATAAATAATCACTTAAAATAGATTATTGTTTATTTTTTATGCACATATCGATAATATTTCCAATAAAATGTTGATATCTAAAATTCTCTTATTGATGACAATTTCTATAGAAACTGTTATTATCGATTATATTTTTCTAGAAAATATTATCTGCTTAAAACTCTAGAGGACATCTTGCTATCTACGGTGATTTCTATATAAAGACTTGTTATCGATAACACTTTCCAAAGCAACATTGTAATTGATAATAATTTCTATAGAAAATCTTATTGTCGAATATATTTTCTATTATATATAGATGTTATCGATTAATTTATTTATAAATTAAATTGTTATCGATAATATTTCCTACAGGTAATCTTGATAGCGAATGTATATTACTAATACAAATGTTTTTATCGAAGACAATTTCTGCAGAAAATGTCATTATCGATTATATTTTTTTCTGTGAGAAGATAATGATATTGAAAATATAAATTCTATAGAAACTCTAGTTATCGATAATATTATTTATATGACATCTTGCTAGCGGACATTTTTTGCATAAGAAATGTTGTTTTCGATGGTAATTTCTATCAAAAACCCCGTTATCGACAATATTTTCCAAGAAATGTTGTTATCGATAATAATTTCTATAGAAAATCTTATTATCGGATATATTTGTATATTCGGTATCGGTTATTTGTTTACAAATTAAATTGTTTTCCATAATATTTGGAACAGAAAATCTTGATATATTTTATATTTTCATTGCACACATTTTGTTATCGATAACATGTTCTATAGAAACTGTTATTATCGATTACATTTTTTTGAGAAATGATATCAAAAAATATTATATATTATTTATATGACATCTTGTTATCGCAGACATTTTTGAGGAAATCGATGATAATTGCTGTAGAAAATCTTCTTATCGAAGACATTTTATATGTAACACTTTATTATCGATAATTGGTCTGTTCTCGTACTGCAAGAATCTACAAGATTTTACTATTTTCTTCGATAACATTAAGGAAATTTCGCTATCATAGTCAACAGTAGTATATTCTTGCAGTACGGGAACAGACCAAATTTTGTAGGAAATGTTTTATATAAAAGTATTTTTATCGATATTGTTTTATGTAGTAAATCTTAATCAAGATTACGTTTGTAACACAACATCTTGTTATCGATGATATTTGCTATACAATAGTTTTTATCGATTGCTTTCTCTACAGATAATCTTGTAATCGATAATATTAAATATTCTAATCGAAAATGTTTTATATAGAAAATATTGTTTTAAATGATATTTCCTATAGAAAATCTTGTTATCGAAAAGGGATTTCTATCAAAATATTGATATCGATTATTTATTCTACAGACAATCGATTCTATGTTCAATAGAAATCTTCGTAAATTTCTTGCTTACGTTTCTTAATGAGATTTCCTTTCGAAAACATTGTTATCGATGATATTTTTAAAAAGCAAAATTATACATTAAATATAGGTATGTTATCGATTTTATATTTCATAAAAAACGTTATTATAGTTTATATATATTACACAAAATTTCGTTATAGAAAATATTTTCTTTTAAATAACCAGATATCGATTATATAAGATTATATATAGTAAAACTTGTGATCAATTAGATTTTATTTATTAAACTTTGTTATCGATGGAAATTTCAAAAGAAAACCTTGTTATCGACAACATATTCTATGGATTTTTTTTTATCTATGGATTCAATAGCATACCTCGTTATCGATTATTATTTCTCCAAGAACTCTTGTTATTGACTATTATTGATTAGAAGAACTCTTGTCATTGATTTGGTTTAATAGGAAAAATATTATCGGTCGTATTTTTATACTGTAATGTTTTGATAATATATTATCATCGATGTTATTTTCTAGAAAACGTTTTGTTAATGACAATATTTTCAATATAAAACATGTTAACGGCAATAGTTTTCAAAGAAAATTCTGCTATCGGCAATATTTTCTATAGAAAATTCTGTTACCAACAATATTTTCTATCCAAAATCCTGTTATCGACAATACTTTGCATAGAAAATCCTGTTATCGACCATATTTTCCATAGAAAACTCTGTTATCGACAATATTTTCCATAGAAAATCAATTTTCTATAGAAAATCTTGGTATCGATAATAATTTTTTTATAGAAAATCATGTTATCGACAATACGTTCTTGTTATTGAAAATATTATTATCGATGTTATTTTCTAGAAAACAATTTGTTATCTACAATATTATCTATAGAAAGTACTGTTATCGCCAATATTTTCTATACAAAATTCTATAGATAATATTATCTATAGAAAATGTTGTTATCGACAATATTTTCTATAGAAAATGTTGTTATCGACAATATTTTCTATAGAAAATGTTGTTATCGATAACTTTTTTATAATAACTGTTGTTATCGATAACCCTTTCTACAGAAAATGTTGCTATCGATGACATTTTCTATAGAAAATGTTGTTATCGACAATATTTTCTATAGAAAACACTGTTATTGACAAATATCTTCAATCGGAAAATCATGTTATCGATAATATTTTCAATATAAAATCTTGTTATCGCTTACAGTTACTGTATAAAATCTTATTATCAACAATATTTCTGGGAAATTACATTCTTATCGATGAATTTCTGTATAAAAAATCAAATTATCGATGATATTTTCTACATATAT